TGTTCCATTATGTATATATGTCACATTTTCATTATCTATTCATCCACGGATGGACACTTAAGTTGATTCCATATCTTTGCTATTGTAAATAGAGTGTAATAAACAGGTGAGTTCTGGTATCCCTTTGATATATTGATTTCTTTTCCTTTGGGTAGATACCTTATAGTGGGATTGCTGAATTAAATAGTGATTATATTTTCAGTTTTTTGAGAAATCTCCACACAATTTTCCACAATGGCTATTCTAGTTTACATTCTCACCAATAGTTTCTAAGAGTTCCCGTTTCTCTGCATCCTCACCAACATTGATTATTTTTTGTTATTTTAATAATAGCCATTCTAACTGGGATAATATGATATTTCATGTTGGTTTTGTTTTGCATTTCTYTGATGATTAGTAATGTTTAGCAGTTTTTCATATACCTGCTAGCCATTTGTATATATTTTTTGAGAAATGTTCTAAACATATCTAAACAAAGAAAAGGTGCAGGAAAAATATGGTATAAAAGATAAACACTGCACCTTTAGAGGGCACTTACCATGAATGGAGCCTGCAGGACTGGAAGTTGCTCTGGGTGAGTCAGGGCATGAGTAAATGTGAAGGACTACAATATTACTGTAGACTCCTATAGGCTTTATCATCACTGTTTATTTAAACTATACTACATTTTTAAAAGGATTTTTCTTTCTTCAATAATACATTAGCTTACTGTAACTTTTTTACTTTATAAAATTGTCAATTTTTTAAACTTTTGGATACTTTTGTAATTATACTTAGCTTAAAACACAAAGATATTGTACAGATGTACACAAATATTTTTCTTTATATCCTTATTCTATATGTGTTTTTTAAAAATTTTTACTTTTTAAGTTTTGTTAAGAATTAAGATACAAACACACATATTAGCCTAGGCCTACACAGGATTAGGATCATCAATATCACTGTTTCCTACCTCCATATCTTGTTCCACTAGGTCTGCAGGGGCAGAAACATGCATGGAGCTGTCATCTCTGATAACAATGCCTTCCTCTGGAATTCTTTCTGAAGGACCTGCCTGAGGCTGTTTTACAGTTACTTTTTTTTTTTTTTTTTTTTTTTTACAAATAGAAGAAACACACTCTAAAATAAGTATAAAAGTAAATACATAAACCAGTAACTTAGTCATTTATTACCATTATCAAGTACTATGTACTGTATGTAATTGTATGTGCTAGGCTTTTTAGACTTTTATATGATTAGTCATGCAGTAGGTTTGTTTACACCAGTATCACCACAAACATGAGTAATGCCTTGCACTATGATGCTGTAATGTCACTAGTCAATAGGAATTTTTCAACTCCATTACAATCGTATGAGACCACTGTTGTACACACGGTCTGTTACTTGCTGAAATGTCATAGTATGGTGCATTATTGTATTTCCTTTCTTCTGCTTATTTTGTGTTTTGTCTATTCCTCTGTTTATCAAGGTGAAAGTTGAAATCATTGGTTTGAGACCATTTTTTTCCTACTATAATATCTCATGCTATAAAGCTCTCCTTAAGTACTACTTGAGTGGCATCCTAAAGTTTTTTATATATTGTTTTCACTTTCATTCAGTTCAAAATGTTTTCTAATTTCCATTTTGATTTCTTTTATGGCCCATGAGTTTTTAGAAGTATGTTATTTTATTTCCATATTTGGAGATCTTTCTGTTATTGATTTCTAATGTTATTCCACCATGGTCAGAGAATACACTTTGTATTACTTTAGACCTTTTATATCCACTGAGACTTATTTTATGGTTCAGAACATGGCCTATTTTGGTAAATGTTCTGTGTGCCCTTGGGAAGAATGTATATTCTGTGATGTAGGATGCAGTGGTCTATAAATGTCAATTAGGTCAAATTGTTTAATAGTGTTGTTCAAGTCTTTCATTAATTTTCTGTGTGCTTATTCTATTAATTACTGAGAAGAGCATTAAAATAGCTGACTGTAATTGTGGGTTTGTCTCTTTCTCCTTGTAATTTTATGAGTTTTTGCTTTTTATGTATTTTGAAGTTCTATTACTAAGTGCAAAAAGTGTTAGTATTACTTCTGCTTAAAGAGTTTACCCCTTATGATTATGAAATAATCTTATTTATCCCTGGTAATATTCATTCCTCTGAAATCTACTTTCTCTGATACTACTATAGTCACTCCAGCTTTCTTTTAATTAGTGTTAGCACGGGACAGTGTTCTGTTCTTTTACTTTTAACCTATCTGGGTTTCTCTATTTAAAGTATGCTTGTTTTTTGTAGCTGGGTCTGGCTTATTTTATTGAATCTGGCAGTCTGTCTCTTTGCAGAAGTTGGTAGACTATTTATGTTTAATGGGATTATTGATATAGTTAGGGTTAAATCTCTTATATCGTTTTCTATTTGTCTCATATGTTTTTTGTTTCCCATTTCCTCTTTTTCTTACTTGGAATTAACTGAGTATATTCTGATTCTATTTCTTTTGTATACTTATTAAGTATAACCACTTCATTTTAGCAATTGCATTAGAGCTTAAAGCATATCTTTATCACAGTCTATCTCTAAGTGATGTTATACCACTTTACATATACTTCCATTTCACCCTCTCAGCCTTTATTCTACTGTTATCATATATTTTACTTCTACGTATGTTATAAATCCCACAATGTATTGTTATTTTTGTTTAAACTGTGAATTGCCTTTTAAAGAAAATTAATCAATAAGAAACCTTATATAATTGCCTCATGTGGTTACCATTTTCAGTGCTCTGTATTCCCCTGTGTTGGTCCATGCTTCTCTTTGGTATTGTTTTCCTTCTGTCTGAAGGAATTTAGCACTTCGTGTAATGCAAGTTTGCTGGTGGTGAGTTCTTTCAGCTTTCGAATATCTGAAAATGCCTTTACTTTGCTTTTGCTTTTGAAAGATATTTTTGCCAGAATGGAATGGATATAGAGTTCTAGGTTGACAGTATTTTCTTTCAGCTCTTTAACAGTTTTATTACACTGAATTCTCTTTTGGTAAATTCAGTAACAAGATATCTGTTGCCATCTTTATTTTTGTTCTGTGGCTGCTTTTGACTATTACTGGTTTTGAGAGATTTGATTATTATATATCTGTGTTTTCTTAATGTTTCTTGTATTTGGAGTTTGTTCAGATACCTGGATCTGTGGGTTTTCACCAAATTTGGAGAAATTTCAGTCATTATTTCTTCAAATACTTTTTCCAGTTCTTTGTTTTCTCCTTCTAGGATTCCAATTCCAAGTATATTAAGCTGCTTCAAGTTCTTCCATATCTCACTGCTATTCTTTCCTTTTTAAAATTCCTTTTCTTCCTGTATTTTATTTTAGACAGTCCCCTAATCTTCAAGTTCACTAATCTTTCCTTCTGTAATATCTAATCTGTTGTTAAATCTTTCCAGTATATTTTTCATTTCACAGATTGTAGTCTTTAATTCTAGATGTTTGATCTGGGTCCTTTTTATATTTTCCATATATTTACTTAACTTGAACATAGAGCATATAATTATAATAACTTTTCAAGCCTTTGTCGGCTAATTCTAATATCTGCATCAAATCTAGTTTGGTTTCCATTGGTTAATTTTTCTCTTCATTATGAGTGTGGGTACAGACTTTAAATTTTTTTTGTCACAGAACGCCAAACTGTCCTAAAAAATGTTTTATCGTTTATTCTATTCCTACCAGTACAGTCCTATTACTACCAGTGCTTCTTTATTCTGCCAGCACTGAATTTTGTCAATCTTTAATCTTTGCCAGTCTCATAGGCTAAAACTATTTACTCCTATAGCAGATATTTTTTTGAGCACTAACTATAAGCCCAGTGACACATGGTTACAATTCTGCGGTATTCCAGCAGCCATAGGAGATACCCTCATGGTGGTGCTTATCAGCTTGTGTAGTTTATCACATTCTTATTTGAACTTTATTTGGTTATTGTGATTTTAAGCACCTTTCCCTAAGTTTGTTGGCCATTTATACTTCTTCTTTGATATACTGCCTACTAATATCTACCAATTAGTTTTAATAAATTGTTTGAATATTTTTAAATTCCTATTAGTTACTAAGCTATTTATTTGTCAAGGATAGACACTCACTTTCAAAACATGTTTTTAAAATAAAGGCATTTCCTTTAAAATAAACTAATACGGGTACATGATTTCTTTGAAGAAATGATTTCTATGTTACTCAAATACTTTTTGCTGTATTAAAAGTAAATAGGAATTGATTTTGGTATAAAAACAATGTCCTTAAAGGCAAACTTTTTCAAACAATATAGAAACACAAAATACATATATGAATATATAAGACATTCACAAATATACAAGTAAATAATTTCATATATATCTGATAGCAACATATACATATATTCCTTAGAAACAATCATGCAGATTACAAATGTCACTTTACTCCTTTGATAATGAAATAGAAAGTCAAGGAGATTAAACATCTTCAGACTATATATTTCCAGCTGATTAAATATTTCTGGCAAAGTCATGCCATCTGTATTGGAAATGCCCCATGTATAAGATTATTAATTTGCAATAATCTAGGATCTCTTCTTTCAAGAAAATGTCAAAATGCCCATTATCAAGCATTTGCTTATCCTCTGAAGAGTATCAGGACCTTTCTAAGGTACATGCTACCTATTCATCTGGCTGTATAGGCAAATGTTGGGAGTACCAGGGAGGATGCCCTTATTTTGGAACAGGTTCTATAGAAGGCCTGTTGTTATTCATTGCCAATGTGAGGTGGATGGGGAGGGGAGACCTTGAGATGTGTTCAGCTCCATGGAAAGGGGTATGACTTGTACACGTGTCATAAGACCATGAAGCATCCGCCCTCTGAATATGATGAAAAAAATATGCCACCAGTTATGCTGTGAATAAATAAACTGAGCTGCTTTAATAACAGTGATGCCAGCAGCCAGAAAAGCCCCACGAAGCCTAACCCACCAGTTCTTCTGTTGGGCTCAGGGCCCCCTGACTGACCTGTTTGATGTAGGTGATCTCTGGCCACCTCAAACAAGCGCAGGTGCATGTTGGTGATGGGGTTAAAGGAGCCACACGCCAGGAGCACCACAGGGATTGGGCTCTTCATCTTGTCAGGCACATCCACATCAGTTGCAGTGGCCACCCTGCTTTTATGGAGACAAAAGCTCATGTCAGGGAGTTATCACTGAGACAATTATCCAGACCAGTTTCTTTAAGCCACACACAGACCATTACTTCTCACTTGTAAGATGACTGAGGAGGCCATAAAAACAACATTTAAGGAGAGTTTGCCATGGGCCATGAAGTATGCCAAGTGCTATGCCAAGATATATCCTTCTCTTGCCAAGTCCTTTTTAACAACCCTGAGTGGTTACTCATATAGCTCAGGGACCGTAGAAGCTACTGGGCCGGGACTGGAACCCAGGCAGCCCGATCCCAGAACCCGTGTTCTGTTCTGAACCTCTATATCCTCCCTGGGCTCCGACAGATCACCCTGGGGTCAGAAGGAGGGCTATAAAACCCCCATAGTGTCATCTCTGGTAGTCCTAATAGATCTCACAAGGTCCAAGAGTAGATCAGTACTTTTAAAACACTTTTTGTTTTGAAACAATTTCAGACTTATTGAAAAACGGTTGCAAAATTTGTACAAAATTTTTTATACTCTTTATCCAGATTTCCCAGTGTTAACATTTTACCACACTTGCTTTATCATTCACTCTTTCCACACACATACGTATCTGTATATATGTTTTTTCTGAAATGTTTAAGAGCAAATCATAGACATAAAATCCCTTTACCTCTAAATGCTTCAGTATGTGTTTTCTAAGAATGAAGACACTTTCTTACATAACTGCAGAATGATGAGTGAAATCAGGATACCAACACTGTTACCGGACTATTACCTAATGTGCAGACTGTATTCTGATTTCACCTATTGTTCTTTACCTGGGGCCCAAGCATTTTGAGAGGGCGCAGCACACTATCTGGCCTCACTCTGTTGAGGTTAAAGGTAAGAAGGAAACAGCCTGGACTCCAGGGCAGGCTGGCAGACATGGCTTTATTGCCTCTGAGATGTTGCCTCCTCGAGGTGGGACTTGGTTGACCCCTAGACTGCCTCTCACTGGCTATGAGACCTAGACAAACTGCAGACCCTTTCTGAGCCTCAGTTTCCTAATCTGCAAGATGGAGATAATGTTACTTACTCTTACAAGGTTGTAGTGAGGATAGATTAGTTACGTATGGAAAAGTGCCTGGTACATAAGAAGCATTTAATAAACTATCACTGTGACTGTGTGGATGATGACGACAATGGTGAGAAAGGTGCTGCTGCTGCTGCTGACTCTAATGGAGGAGGAGAAAGGAGATGACAGTGTGTCTGCGGTAGGCAGTGTTTCAGATGGCTCCCAAGGATCCTTCTAGAATTCACTGGTAATCTCACCCCTTAAGTACGGGCTGAAACTTGCTTCCAACAAACAGAATACAGCAGTAGTGGTTACCACTTCTGAGATAAGGTTACGAAAGGCCTTTGGCTTCCCTCTTGCTCACTTCTTTTGCTTTCTCACTTGCTCACCATGATGCAGCCAGCTGGCAGGTTGTGAGCTGCCCCATGGAGATGCCCATGGGCCCAGGGAGTGAGAGAGACCTCTGGTGGCCAACAGCCAGTGAGGAACTGGACCTGCCAACAACGATGTGCATGAGTGTGGGCGTGATCTTTCCCCAGTTAAGTTTTCAGATGTGACTGCAGCCCTGTGAACACCCTGATTGAAGCTTTATAAGATAAGCTTTAGAACTTAAATTATATCTGGATTCATGACCCACAGAAACTGTGATATACTAAATAAAAATAATAAATAAATGTGTTGATTTAAGCTGCTACATTTTGGTGTAATTGGTTTTGCAGTAATAGATAATACAGCAGCCAACAGGAGGAACGCATTTACTGCCTTTATTGCTCATCTTGCGACGATGCTCTTAGCTGTAATCCTGCAGTTCTGGGAATAGCATGTGGAGTGCTCAGTCACAGGAACCTGGAACCCTATTTGTATCTAAGGGAAACTTTTAACTTGGCCCATGTTATCTGCTTCTCTAGGCTTTCATCAAGCTTCCTACTTTATAGTCTAGCAAGAATGAACTGCCTGTTAGGGCTTCTTTGTGAGACCTTCATGGTTTCCTGCTTCAACCTTCTGTATAGGCTATTTTGGTTTCCTCCAACCAGAAAAGCCCCTAGCACATCCCAATCTGTTAAGACCCAATTTATGTGATCACATTATTTATGACTTCAATCACTATCAATTACCTGCTAGGTACCTATATCAGTTAGGGATATACTGGCTGCAAATACCAGAAGCCTAACCTCAGTGGTCTAAACAAAGAGAGGTTCACTTGTTTCTAACACGACAAGAAGTCTGGAAGTAGGTACCTAATGACATTAGATTACCTGCAGTTCAGTTTTTCCCTCATGGTCACAAACTTGCTGTTACAGCTATAGCCATCATAACCTCAATCAAGGTAAGGGGGAGGAGCAGGGAGCTGTACTGGATTAGCTATTCCTGTTAATCAATAACACAAGAGTATTTTAAGAACCTCCTGTAGATTTTGCTCCTGTCTCATTGGCAAGACTAGGTTACATGGCCACTGTAGCTACAACAGAGGCTAGAAAGGCATATATTTAGCTTGACAGCCTCTCCAGTGAGAGCAGTGAGGGAAAGGATATTGGAAACTGGATTAACTAATCCACTGTGGCTGCCACAGAGTTAGGGTACAAGTGTCTGGGAGCTGGGAGGGTAGAAGGCTGCAGAGACGGCTTCTCTGACATCTAGCTTCTCTGACTTACCTTTAATAAATCACATGCCACATTCTATTAAAAAAAAAAAAACCTGCTTATGAGTCTCTCCTATTCACTGATCAGTAAACACTTTAGGAGGGGAAGTGGTGTTTTCTCCATCTTTGGATTTCAGCTCGAAGCACAGAGCCTGGCCCAGAGTGGGGCTCAGTGAAGACGGAGACAGGGCACTGGCTGGCTGGGGGGCAGACCTGCCTCCTGCTGGCGAGAAGGCCCAATGCATCTCCTACTGTACACAGAGTTGTTCTGCATGTACTGTGAGCTACAGTATGAAGATGAAAACTCTCAGCCTACGCGGGCCTTGGTCTTTCCATACTTCCTTTAAGGCAGCAGGAATACCCCCTACCGTGTGGGAAGAAAGCAGTCAACAAACTGCTGCTAGCTTCTTCCCAGGGAGGTTGGATGGTTTAACGAGTTATTTGCGAAGTGTGCCAAGCTATTCACAAGAGCAGCCTCGTGATGACTGTATCTGAAAAGGGGGCTGACTGTTTTTTTACAACTATCATAAAGTCTTTCAAAATCCTATTTCATTTCGACAAAATATACGTTGTTAGAACTGTTAAAACATGTAATTGTAGCATCTCAGGTAACCTGGGGCTCTCATCCATTTTTCCAAAAGTTCCCAGAAACTGTAAATTAGAACAATTGTTTGAATGGTGGCATCAACAGCACTGAAGTGTGAGGCTGAGAAGGAGAATAAATGACCTTTATTAAGTGCCTCTCTTTCTTTTTCTCTTTTTGCTGTGGGCATGCTGAGCCACACTGTTCTAATGGTGACTGTGCTCTGTCTGGGCCACATCTCAGGCTGAAGGACACACTGAGTGCACATTTCCAGGATCAGTAACAGGATCGGTGCACCTGTACCATTTGTATACTCCAATTTGCTTCAATTAAGTACCCTCCCAAGCCAAACCCAGAGAAATACAGTGATAGGGTTAAAATGGACTCACTCCAGGAATCCACCAGGACAATACACTGGCTCTCGGGTGAATGCAAATCTCATCAGACCCAAGGCAAGACGCATGCCATAGAAGTGTCCCATCTGCCTTTATCATCTAATAATATCTAGTGAGACGGAGTAAGTGAGGGAGACTTTTGCTATTGGGAAAGGCTTCTCATCAATAAGCATTTAATGGAGGCCACAGAGTGAGTAATAATTGCTGCTGAAGGATTTAACAAGTTGAGAATGTGGTATACAGGCTTGTTGGAATTTATCATTAAACTGGAGATAAGGCAAACGGGTTCCACCTTTGGCTCCCGCCCCCTCTCCAGCTTTACTGCCTCCTACTCCATAGTTACCTAGACAGCATTTCATCCCACTCCTCAAGCGTAGCATGCTGCTTCTGCAAATGCAGTCATGACCACCCGAAACGCCCTCCTCACCCTTGTCACCCTGGTGATCTGCCTTCAAGATTTTCTCCCTGGAATACTTACCTTCTCTCTCCCCCCACTGTCCCTACCACCATGCTAACTCTGTACCTGTTACACATTTTATCACCTTTCTCTTTCTTCACCATGGAACTGTCATTGTTTTTATGCATGTTGCTCTTCTCCAAGTGGAAGATAATCTCCCAGAGAGTTTTTCCTTCTTTTTTCTTTTTCTAAGAGACAGGGTCTCACTTTGTTGTCCAGTTTGGAGTGCAGCGGCATAATCATAGCTTGCTGCAACCTCAAACTCCTGGGCTCAAGTGATTAGAGGGTGGTTTTTTTAAAGTAATTTTTTAAAATTATACTTTAAGTTCTGGGGTACATGTGTAGAACATGCAGGTTTGTTACGTAGGTATATATGTGCCATGATGGTTTGCTGCATGCATCACCCCATCATCTATATTAGGTATTTCTCCTAATGCTATCCCTCCCCTATCCCCCCAGTAGAGAGCGGTTTTCAAAATTATCTTGGTCCTTTCAACTCCTAGCACTGTGCCTGGCACCAATAGGTACTCAGAAAATGTGTGTGGAACAAACAAGAGAGTCAGTGTCTGTCCCTGACCAAGTATTTTTGTCAGAAGGCTACCTCCTCTCTTTGGTTCTGTCCCAGTCAATGGAGTGGGCCTTCCAGAGATATAAAGTGAGATTTCTGGCTCCTTGAAGGCACACAAGGTCCCACTTCGCCCGACTCAATCTGAAATAAAGAGACATCCCTGCCTGTTGGGCCCTCTTTAACACCATGATCCTGTCAGAAAGGATATGCTGCCCTCCTGCACATTGACAACAAGGTCATTCCTCTGCCATAGAGAAGTGGAGGTTGATGGCTGTCCATTTGCCAAGACAGTCCAGATAATTCCTTCCAGGTTTTACTGC